GATTCTCTCCCCGTCCCGCTGAGGGGGGGAGTGAGGGGGCGGCTGCGTGGTATTTGGCTGCCTGCCAGGTTAAACCATGACAGTCTTCACAGGAATAAACCCAATGGAACATAAGTCACTGTAGGAACAAGCATATGGGCAAGGTGGGCTCCTGGCTTATAAATGGTACAACTGTAGATACAGAAGTGCAAAGACTGCACTGATTGGAAAGCTAGCTGGAAAACAGCAGTCATAAGGTAGACAGACATTTATAGCCATAGAAACCATTGGATATTTTGTATATATTTGCATTTCACTTTCTAAGCACTTTTTTAAAACGGAGCTTGGTTTTAACTATTCATCGATTAGCTTATCACTAGCTATGCCTTGTTGTTCTAACAACAAAACTGCTGAATTTCTGTGGGATTGCCACAAGTTCTCATGTAGCGAATATGTGGGCTAAAAACCTAACAGTAAGGTTGAAAAGCCACATGATCTTGCTTCTAGAGGTTTGACACGCTCTTTGTGCGTTAATAGAAGTATGGGAGGGTCTGTGTGAAACTTTGGGTTTCTAAATGCAAAGACCAAAACTCTGACAGTGCATTAGTATTCGTCTCTCTATTTCTCCCACCGTATTCTGAGATTTCAACCGAAGACCCTTAAAGTAATAAGTAGTTTATTCTTCTACCTGTAAAATAAAACACTGTTGCCGCAGTGAATGTGCATGTGTTATTGGAGAAAGATTTCTCTATCAGTTACTTAAACATGCTGCTTTTTCCTCTGGGATGAATAGCATCCCTCTGTAGTGTAAGAATAGAGCTGGTTAGGAAACATTTCAGTGGCTTCAAGAGTTTTCATCTCCTCCATGGAAATTAAACCGAAACCTTACAAAGTTTAACACTAAATATGTGGGTAAAGGAGAAACAAGAATAAGCAGCAGGACAAACAGGCGTTTCTGCAACAAGTAGAAGACCACCTGTTTCTTCCTCCCCGTGCCCTAACCACTAAGCTGTTCTTTCCTGCACTGGATCATGTTGTCTTGTGTGTGTGAGACTGTTTGGCTGAATAATTACTTGTAACTGGTGTAATACTGGGGAAAAAAAATATTTGTCAAATCATTATTTTCCAGTGATGAAAAGCATTTTTTAAAAATTCCCATCTACCTCTGTCTAACCCATAAAAACACTGAAGAGATAATTAGCTGGACAACAATACATGAAATGGGGCTGCGGGGGGAACGAGATGATCTAAATTCTCTTAAGTTTTACTTAAGTAATGAAGTTGACTCATTCTTTCTGGATACAGTCCACCGCTCATGGAAATCAATTAAATTCTTTCTGTTGTGATTTAACACATGTTCTTACAGTTACTTTCTACAGTAAATATTCATTAATTTGTAAATCTAAATTAACTCTTGGTTCCTTATGGTTAAAAAAATTATTTTTGGTACTGATGGCTTTCCCGTGGACTGGGATATATGGAGGCGACACCAGTCACTTAAAGGGTGCTACTAAAACTTCCCCATCTCTGGTTATGATTTACAAACCCGAGGACAGGAGCTCTTTGTACTCTATGCACACTCATATTATTTCATGGGAGCATTTATACCGCTTTTAAGGTTAGCGGGAAAAGACTTGGTCCTGCCAGTGCTCTGCTGAGGCAGCAAGGGTCTCTGGAGATGGAAAAACCACCTTTGCCGAGGGGCTCAGGTGTGCGGAGGGGCACTCCACAGCATCGCTAAGTCTCACGCTCAGCTCGCACGCATTCACACATGCTAATGCTCACTCCCACACTGACACTCACAACCCACGCGCTCACACTCTCACACTTTCACACACACCAGCACGCTCACTCATTATACACACGTAATCTTTAGAATAGTCACAGGTTGACCAGATGCAGCTCACTACGCCAGGTGTTAGGTGACGTTGGCTGCGGCTGCCGCCCTGCCGCCTCCGGCAGCTCGGGCCCTGGACTCCCTCCTGCCTGGCCCCTGAGCCCGGCCTGGGGTGCCCGGGACCCCCGGCTCTCTGCCCCAGGCTGAGGGACGGAGCTGCTGCCTTCCCCTTTGCAGGTTCAACCAGAAGCGAAGCTGAGGGTGTATCCCACAGGCACACAGGCAGACACACACACGTTAGCAGCTCGTGTGGAATGGATTTGCTCGTCTCAGTCCAGTTCCTTATGTGCCTCTCCACAGCCGGCAGCCTCTGGCAAATGGCAAAGGCCGAAGACAGACTGGCTCTCAGAAAATGAGCTATCTTTCCATTCCTGAATGAGACCTTGTCGTATCAGTGTAAGCTATACTGCCAGTGAGCATCAGAAATTTTTGATGTCTCATATTGTTTCTTCTATAAGTTCAATTTACAGTACTTCAGCTAAACACAGACAGTAATTTCACTTATTACAAATCCTATAGTAACAAAGTTAATTCACGCATGCCTTTTTTAAGGTGATTTATGACAGAACCAATACAAGGGAACAGATGAGCATATCTAGGTTCAAGTGCCATTCAATAATCATAGTCAATATTCCCTTGTTTTAATACTCAACATCATGTTCAAAATGGAATGCTTCGCTGCAAGCTGCATGCCGACCACGCAGGATTAAATGGGGCTTCTGGTGTGATGCATATAACAACCTCTTAAATGGTTAGGACACCTATTGACTTTAATATAGAAGCATGCATGAAAACAAGCGTGCCACACACTGAAATATATGTACACAAATATTAAGGGGATTAAAGAAATTGATAAAATGGATAGAGTGGCATTTAACACAAACATGTCTGGAATCTAAGCAGAATGGAAATAACATACACAGAACTGATCCCTTGTTAGATTTTTTTTTTTAGTAGTTCATCTGGGGTATAAACGTCTCTGTACAAGGAGGTCGTTTGCTTACACTTAAAATTTCTGTTTAATACATATCTTTCTTTGGAATCTGCCTCTAATTCATAACCACCTTCATTTAGTAGCTAGCACCTCTGCCAAGCGAGCTGCAGGAAAAAGTAATTAAATTTAACGGAAACCACTCTTGCTTTGAAACTGCCCTGGATTTAGAGCCACAAGGAGAAGCAATTAAACTCTGGCAGCCAAGGATTCAAACTGAAGTTATATAGTGATTTTTTAAAAAAGTTTTTTTAAAGGAAGTATTCTCTGTAAATGGACTTGGATTGTCAGATCTGATTGGATTCAAAGCCATAGAAATCTCCTTCTTTGGGAAATCTTCTCTTGAAGCAAAATTTTAAAAAAAACAAATGGGGTTCCCCCTGAAATGCCGATCAGTTGTAGAGATCCAGGGTATTTTTAATCCTTCTGAACAAACTTCAAAAAAGAGTTTGTTCTTCTCAGCAAAGTGCTGAATGGAAAAGGGAAGCATGGAAGGAAGACATCTGCATGTCTATTTATCCGTCACTCGCAGAGGTGACCAGCTCCGGAGCAGGCGCGTCCCGCAGCGGAGCGGGGGATGGCAGCACACAGGGGGGTTTCCTGAGCCGGGGAAACGCCAGGGGAGCGCAGAGACCTGCCGGGAGCTGGCAGCTCTCACGAGGGCAGCTGACAAAGGCCTGGGCAGGGCCAGGAGTAATGGCGGCAGATTTAAACGCGGTGTAACTGCCACCAACCGTCACTCGCAGAGGTGATCAGCCCCGGTGCAGGCGCGTCCCCCAGCGGAGTGGCAGATGGCGGCGTACAGGTGGGTTTCCTGAGGTAACTTGCTGGGAAAATGTCTTACTGTAGCACTGGCCACCGTGAGGTAGTTCCCTCGCAACAGTGACAAGCCTGTAAAAGGGGAACAGGCAAACAGTGCCGGGGAGCCACGCTGGGGAGCCATCAACTCTGCGAAGACTGTCTGACCCTGACGTTTTGGATGTCCCAGCTGTCATCTTTGACAATGGGTCTGGGTTGTTCAAAGCGGGTATCGCAGGTGACAGTGGCCCAATGTCTGTTTTTACAGTGATTGTTGGTCACTCAAAAGTCAAAGCTACAATGCTGAGAGCTGGACAGAAAGAATGTTACATCGGAGAAGAAGCTCAGTCCAAAAGAGAGGTCCTGTCTTTGAATTATCCAATTGACTATGGCCTGGTTACATGCTGGGATGATACGGAAAGGATGTGGAGACATGCCTATGAGTATGAGCTGAGGATCAAAGCCAGTGAAAGGCCAGTGCTGCTGACTGAAGCCCCCCTCAGTCCTCTGCAGAACTGGGAAAAAAATGGCAGAGATCACGTTTGAAGGCTTCATGGTGCCGGCTATGTATGTTGCCATGCAACTCTGGCACTCTATGCATCGGGCCGTATTACTGGAATAGTCATGCACAGCGGGGATGGTGTTATCCACACCATCCCCATATATGAGGGATACAGTTTACCCCATGCTGTCTCCAGGCTGGATATTGCTAGCCGGGATATCACCGAATATTTTATGAGGCTTCTTTTGGAGAGTGGACACACTTTTGTTATTACAGCTGACAGGGAAATTGTGAGAGAGATGAAAGAGAAGTTGTGCTACGTAGCTTTAGACCCCATCCCAGAAATCAGAGTGAAGCCAGAAGAAATGAAAGAATACAGAAAGAATACAGATAGGCAACCAGATCTTTCATGCACCAGAGATACTTTTCATGCCTGCAAACATTGGAGTTGAAGCTCCCGGTGTGGACAAAATGATCTTCAACAACATCAGGAAGCGTGACATCAGCATGCGCAGGAATCTTTATGGCAACATCCTGCTCTCAGGTGGGTCCATGCTCTTCCTTGGCCTGGAGGAACAGATTCTGAAGGAGATGAAGCTGCAAGTGCCTGCTGGCATGTTTGTGAGGATCACTGCCCCCCCTGAGAAAATACTGTGTGCGGATTGGGGCCTCCATGCTCACCTGCCTGACACCTTTCAAAAAAATGTGGGTCACTGCGAGCAATTGCAAGGAGTTTGGGGCAGCTGTCGTTCACCGGAAATGCTTTTAAGGAGAACGTCAGACCAAATGAATGGCTTTCTACAACAACGCATGAGCAAGAAACCCTGCTGAGAGCTGACTGACCTAAAAGGTGCTACAGCTGTTTGTGCGTTTATTGGCTGACAAAACCTCTATGAAAATAAAAATCAAAAATATCAGTAATGTGGGCCTTTAGTCATCTTATTGTTTATCATCTCCATGCTCCTACTTCCCTTGTTTCATGGCTTGGAGCCTTATCTGTGTGTTCTCTTCCAACCCTTTACCTCATGTCTGGGGAGCCTGAGCTGTAACAAG